GTCTTACTGGCCAGAGCTGCAGAGAACTCCTTGGCTCGTCATCTGAGTTTCAGAGATGACAACTCTACAGTAGCTGGCTCTTTTTCTTTTTTCTATCTCTTTTCATTTCACGTCTCCTCTCAGAGAAATTCCTGGCTGCATCCCGAGGAATGGAAGAACTGAACCAGCGTGCACGGAGAAGAAGAAGCTGTTATTTTTACTTCTTACTGTCGGATGAAGTCTTTCTTTGCACCCTGTGTGCTCGCTGCCATTACTGCTGCATGTCTGAGGACACATTTGGGAAAAATCTAGTTTTGCCTGTAAACAAAAAGCACCATGAAATATTCATAAAAGTTTTCTAAAGGTAGGGCTCAATCACAGCAGGATATAAAATAGCAGTCAGGTTTTAGTGAAGATGCATGTGTCTGGGAAGTAGTGAGCATATGAATGCATTAATTGAGACTAGTTTTATAATGCACAAGTTTTGTCAGCAACCCAGTTGTCAGAAACCATGGTGGTGTTGTACGTTTCTGCAAACCACTGATACGTTGAAAGTCATATCAGCCTCGTATCACACTTGCAGAAACAAACGATGGTACGTTGTGAAACGATTGGTTAGGTTTAGGAAAAAAGATCACGGTTTGTGTTAAAGTAATGACGGAACAATGTAATGTACCAACTGTAACATAACTACTGTAAATAAATTAAAACCACCCTCAGCAGACTTTCTCACGTGATGTCACATTGCAGGCGTAACAACGTTATGTAAGAAGCGCAAAGTCAACGTTTAGTTTGGGTGTTACACGAGACACAAACAACGGTCTCCTGGTGAAAGTCCAGCGTTTGACACATCCAGCATCTGGACTCTCGCTGTGTTTTGAGATAGTTCTGATGTCTAAATGCTCATTCTGAGGCTCCTGCTTCTTTAAATATCAGTTTTCTTTTTCAACACCACTTGTACCAATGTTCTCCTTTATCTAAACTGCCTTTCAGTGTAACTATGCACAGTTATGGCGTCACAACATTAACAAGGAACTCAGATGTGACCTCTGACCTCGGCCGCCCCCAGACTATCTTCACTGCGCTGACCAATCACCATGGCAACTGGCACAAAACTCATTCTCCTGAAATGTGGCGATGGCGTTCGGAAAAGAGAGGAGAGGAAAAAGAAGAGTTGTATTTGCTGTACGCGCTGTGAAAACACATCTTTCATATGGTGCCAGAGAGCCTGCGTGGCTTTGTCCTCTGTACAAATATGAGTGACAGCGCTGAGCAAACATCACGGGCCTCATCGTCCTCCTCCTCCTCCTCCTCCTCCTCCTCACAGCTCTGCAGGGCTGGAGGTACCGTGGGACTGCTCTCTGTAGACGCAGCGTAAAGAAAGAACCGGTGGCACTGGGATTGATCCGGCTTTAATTAACCATTGTACGATGATCCACGACTTCTGCCAAACAGCCGGCATGATTTACAGCCCGCCTGTGGTTGGGTACGGGGACGGGAGGTGGCTTCAGCCGACCCATTTCTGCTGTAAAATGAAGACATTAATCTGATATCTGTAAACCAAATATAGACATTTTAATTTCCCTAAAATCTGCTGTTATTTTTTTCAAAATTATTATTAATTTGCTTTGAAACGAGGCCTACTTTATTCAGAGTTTATATTGCTGCAAACACTTGCTTTGTGAATGATTTACTAACATGTATTAAGGCTTTATGGATGTCATTGTGTTGCAAGTCACAAGTTAGTCTAAGTAGTTATGAAGTAGTTATGAAGTCCTGGGAGTCCTAGTTTCAATCTCTGCGTTCGATGCCATTATATCTACATTCATTTAAATCTTTCTAATTATTTCACATTAAAGTCAGTTTACAGAAATAATGACTGCTTTGATAAACGTTGTATTCCTTACTTCAAAATTTACTTCCAAGTAAAATTGTATTAATGAACTACTTTCTGATAAGTCTGTAGATATCAATATGTATTTTGTGATGAGTAGCCTTTTTTTCAAAAAGCAGAGCAAAGTGTTTCACAACCTGGCAACGCAAAAGTGATTCATATTCATGGCTAGATATCTATAGACTATTATGAAAGGATTTATTAACCCTTAATGAAGCCATAAAATCAAACTTAAAAGCTACACTTGTCTTATGTAAATGTGTTATCATGTTTCATTGGTTTTTAAGTGAATACATGATATGTATGTTTTTCTCCGTCTCGTTGTGTATTTATTTACTCATTCCTGTGTGTGCTTGTGTCACCTTGAGCTGGAGCCTTTACAAAAGGGGACGACTCTCTCCTGAGTGCGTCTGTCAGCCGGTCGCCGCTCCGCTGTCGCCACCACACATTCCCCAACATGCATTGTTCTCAGCTGATTGAAGTGGTTTTCTTCTTTCAGGCGCTGATGAGGAAAAAGTGCAAATCACTGACTAAGCAGAACGCTGTCAGCAACGTCTCCTCGCTCTCTCGGTGAAGCAGGCCAAGGATCACGCTGCGCTGGCATCTCTACCAGTTGATACTTTAAAAAGACATGAAGAAGAGGAAGGTATTAGCATATCAAAGGCCGACATCTGACACAGCCCTGCTGCCTGCTTCAACCTACAGTAAGTGGGGTGCAGTGGGAGGAGGGGGTTCGACTGTAGGAGGAGGAGATGGAAAAAAGTGAAAGTCCGCCGGTCGAAGCACATCGAGGGTTTTACCGCAGCTCGCCAGTCACACGAGGGGCGGTATCTGCACCCACACGGACGGGATTAGGACGATACGAGGGGGCCGACGTTAAGAGACGAGAGCTCTGCTTTCTGCCTCGGGCTCTGATTGAACCCACATACACACGCCAGAGTGTGAAAGGTCAGAGGTCAAAAGTAGAGGGGTGAGAGTGAGGGTGGGAAAAATAAAAAAGGATATTCAGTAATTGAGAGAGAGAAAGAAAATGTCAGAGGGCAAGAATGAGTGAAACAATGATCGGAAAGAAAAAATGAGCGAGACAAAGAAGTAAATAAGTGAGGCCTGAAATGATGTAAATGAGCCATACACATGATACACAGTGGAGTACAACATACTTCACAATTTAAATGTTAATGCAGAAAGCTGGCTTTTCTAAGCATAACTAACCTTCAGACTCTTTTCCAAAAGGTGAAAAAAAGAGAAAAAATGTGACGGAGAACAAAGTGTAAGAACAAAAAAACACAATTTAAAATATCTGGATAAAAGATATAAAATATGATGTCATATAAATATCTTTTATAAGAAGCAAAACACGGCTAGCTTGCAAGAGACAACACAAGAAAATGCATTTAAAGTAAGAAGGTATTTTTGTATTTATTGAAACTTCTTTGAATCCCATTCATGTCGAGGCTGCATGTACAGAGTCTTAAAGCTGCTGTTGGTCCCTGTGGACAGACGTGGGAGTGTTTCTGAGCCCCAGACTGCAGCAGGGTCTGACAGTCTGAGCCGCTCAGTCCTGCATGATTCCATCTGATTTCACCAGAACACGACCCGGTGGCACACATGACACGCATTAAGAATAACTCTATAGAAACAGACCATCTTCTCTCTGATGGTCCCGTTCACTTATATAGGTCATATAGAGGCATCGAGATTAAACTGAGACTGTTTCATAACCAGTTCACAGTTCCTCACAGTAACTTGAAGTGCAACACTTCTGCTGAACTGGGTTATTCTAGTGCTGTGAGAGAGAAATAAATGAAAGGAGAGAAAGCACCCAGTTTACGATGTGGAGAGGCTGGGTGAAGCAGCGGGCAGGTGACGGCACATATGGCATGCTGTTCAACAGGTGCTGTGGTACAAGGCAGCGCTGACAGACAGGAAGAGAGATGAATGCTTGGTGTCAAATCCCTCCTCTGGCTTCTGTCCGCTGCCAATGAGGCGAAGACAACCAGAAGAGAGCAGAACAGTGAGAAGAAAAAAGAAAGATTCTTGGCCGGGATGCAGGACTTACTGTATTACAGCTGTATTTAATAAAAGGCTCAGCAGCATTGATCTGACTGGGGGAATTTCTCCAAACATCCTGCAGAGCTAAAAGGCCGGTGGGATCCCTGTGCTGCTCTGATTGAGAGCTTCCTGTTTCAAGCACTTAATGAAGAACTGGGGAGAGATTTAACTTCCAGGTCTCCCAGCTTGGACGCTTTCCTGCAAATCATTCTTGATATTCCCAACATTCACCTGCCACTACTACATTTTTTTTTAAAGCTGCTTTGATATATTACGACCACTAGGGGCCAGAGAAACTCCAGAACGAGCTGGCAGACAAAAAGCCCCGACATATTATCACTTTATCAAGTTGTTATAAGCAGATTGTTATTAACTGTCCAATTTAAAAAGTAAGTATTTACAAAGCCATGTATGTTTCTTTGTTGGCCCTCGAGCGATTCATTGTGAACCATCTCATTTACAAATCACTTCACTCCAGAAAGAAGTTTCAATAAGGAACCCGTGCGTCTCTGACTCTTTGTATGGTCTGAAGGCCTCTGCCTCCACGATGAGCGTGAAGATGGATATTTGTATTATATGTACAGGCTGCTGTTTATCTTCCGTCTTGAATCGTGTGTGTTGGTAAAGTGAAGCACCGCTGTCTTTTCACTACGTCTCCTCACTGAGTATTTAATTACTTTCATTCAGTGGAATTAAAGCAAGGTAATTGTTATCTGTTAATAGTGCTGTGGAGCTGTTGAGTGTGCTGGTTTATTCATTGTAAAATTGACAAACGTTGTAAATTAAAACACTAACAAAAATGTGCCAGTTGCTACAATGGCTTAATAAGACGTCTGTAATCTACCACAAAGACCAGGTTGCTGAAACTTTGACCCAGAGAACTTTGCAGTAGCATGAGTGCACCTGAACAATTCCCAGGAAATGAAACTTAGCCTTTGCAGCTCTGTTGCACTCGCCACCACATGGCAGGTCAAATACAGCATTTGCATTGGCTCATCCGGTCAATGATTTGCAAAAAAGGTCATGTGGTGTGTACCAATGTGCTTATCTAATTTTTCTGTGTTTGCATCTCAGTTATTACCAGCCATAATCAGGTGAACGCTTTTGCTTCTGAGACATAAGCACAGTTAGGTTTCAGTTGTCAGCCACGATAAATTGGCTGCAAGTTTCCTCTGTTCTTACTTACTGATCGATGAGGACCTGAAGACATGGCTCCAACACTGGTGAGTCTCCTGCTGCTGAGCCCTGAGGAGAGGAGAGTTAAAGCTGCTTCAATTTGAACTCAAACAAGCTTGTCTTCTTACTGGCAGCATCTTTAAATACGTACTAGTATATTGATTTGATGTAAATATTCTTGGATTACAATGTAACACGACTTTACTTTGAGTTTGCTGCTGTAAAGATATACGTTTCCATCGTAGTCAAAGTAAGATCTGAAATAAGAAGAATTTAGAACACCAAGAACAAACAGGGTGAAGTGACACAACAAGTGAAATGTGTTGACATTTAAAGGTGTGTCATGTAAGACATCCCAGTGTTAACTAGGAGTATCTGTGAATGCACCTTTGTTCCACAACACGTTATGCAAGTTCTCAGTAAACAGGGCGTTGATTTGCCCTGTTTGTTTTATGAGTTGTGCAATGGTACAGTTATTGATGAAGTATAATGTCAGGCAGATCCAACAAACATGTTTGGGGCTTTTCATCATAAAACATTTGTACAACCGTTTTTTCCCCCATTTTCTCTAAGATTGTACATTGTTAACATCCATGTTGACTATCTCTTCCTCACATCTTTTTTTTGCGCATTGATCTGCTTCTTAGCGCGTTACTGCTCCGAACTGTCAAACAGCGGTATCGCATAAAACCTGTAGCAAGAATGTGTCTCACATCGTACACATGTGCACAACCAGGAACCCACATGTGAAACATGTCTCCATAGCGATAGTAGGTCAGACACCCCAGAGGCAACTTATCCCTACCCGTCATATTTTGCCACTTGGGCAGAAGCCGGGGGCAGATTGTCGCAGTTAGCATGTAGTTGACATCATGAAATATCACAGGTTATTGACAAAACGTCGTCAGTAAAAATAAGTAAACTTTTGGTTTCGCGAAGGAAACGAACGCCGGTCCCCTGAGTAAAGGTTCTATGTTTGTTTGACCCGTCCACCACTCCTCGCTTAAAACTTAAAACTACATCCAATGTTCTGAGCATCTAATAAGGAAGTGGATGGTTCACCATTGGAGTTTGTTGAAAGCTCGGTGTGTCTCATACAGACGCTAAAGGGTGCATTGTGCGTCGGTATCAAGACACCGAGGGCCACTGCCCAAGCATTGGTATCTGACACCCAGGGAGTGAAACCTTTAAGTGATGACCACTTACACTGACTACATACCAAGTTTATTATTTTTATCATTTATTAACGATAATTGTTTCTCTTATCATGTTAGTTTGACCATGGTGCAAAGCCCGGGGACCTGATCGAGATCTTCCGCGGAACGTATCAGCACTGGGCTGTCTACATCGGCGGAAATGAAGTTGTTCATTTGATTCCTCAGAGTGAGTGAAGTGCTGCTTTTATGACATTCATCTTGAGCGACCATCAATAAATTTGCCTTAATTATGTTATCAGCCAATCGCATACATGTATGTAAAATAACAGTAAAGACAAAAACTTAACGAATTTCCCTCTCTTAAATTGTATCCCTGTTCTTTTCCAAGCTGCTTCACTCTGACTTCTGTCCTGTTTGTCTCTTAACACACACACACACACTCACACAGGTGATGACTCGAGCCCTCTTGGTAGCCTGTTGATGCTCCTGGACAGCAGGAGGGCACGGGTGATGCGCCAGAAGATCTGGGAAGTGGTCGGCGGCCACCGTTTTGAAATCAACAACCTCCTAGATGACAAGTACGAGCCTCGAGACCGCCACGTCATCGTGAGGGAGGCCTGTAGGATGGTGAGCTCGGAGCTGCCGTACAATGCCGTCACTCACAACTCTGAGCACTTTGTCAACGAAATACGGTACGGCCAGTCAGAGTCTCGTCAGGTGGGTGGTCACTTTTATACTTTTGTTTGCATAACTATTAAAAAAACAAGTTGTTTACCTCGGTAAGTCATAGCAGGTGTGCTGATTCTCACAGAATACAGTAAGTGATCAGAAGAAACTAAGAGAAATAAAAGTAATTCAGCTAAAAGCAAACTTCTCCACTGTAATCGTAACAGTCGATAACATATGCAACAGTAACATATTTCATTGATATTTCGGCGGGAGATCAAAGTGCTACACAGCCCTCTGTGTGTCTGCAGCTGGATACTCCACCAGTTTATCATATAAGCGTCTCATTCATTGGAACAACACATCTAGAACAGTCTATTTCAGCTGATTAGAAGCAGATGTGCTACTAAATGAAATGTGATTGCTCGTGTGTCAAACAACGGAAGATGATTAATAAGCTGATATGCAAAGTTTAAAAGAAAGCTTGTTTAATCAAACCACTTGGTGCATCTGTGTTGTAGCTATACAGAGTTATACAGAAAGCCTTGAAAGCCATGATTATGTTTTTGGCTAGTTGTAAATCTTCTCTCCATTAGGTTTTGTTTTGCTGCTATATGTATACTCTTTACTATCTATCATTGCTGCAGGATGGTGCATTGGCCCGTCATTGGCTGAGACAACTGTCAGTCAAACTAAATTCCTCTTCTAAGGCGTAAAACTGCAATCATTTTCTCTAAATATATTAAGTCGCACAAACATGAGTAAAAGTCTTAGCTCTTGAATCCCCTCTTGTAGGAACAGTACTCAGAGAGAATCATTCACTTTGTTTAATTTAAGTGAAGAGTTTTCAACTAGTGGTCATTAGAGGTACTGCCAACTGGGCCAAGTCTTAACTAGTACCAGGTTCAGTGTGAAACAATTGGTTTGTGACATTATAATTATCTGTGACTTTGTTTGTGGAGAATACGCACAACTTAAATACAGTTTCTAGTTATTCCGAGGGCCAGTACTACAGTGACATTTCACACCAAATTCAGTCAGAATCTTTTAGGTCAGAGGATGATTACTGGAGGCAAAGCAAAGTGTCACAAATGATTTGTCTCAAGTTTAACCTGAACGTGAACTTTCATAAGCAAATTCATGCAATCGACCAATATTAAGCTCTCTTAAAGGGAGTGATCACACTGCAGTCTGAAATGAAACACACGTTTTTATGCTACTAATGTTTTCACGGAGTAACAGCAGGCTTGATGGCGAGCTAGCCACAGAGCTAGCTGCCAGTGTCAGAATTTCAGGTACTTTATGGTTTGACAGTAAAATAATTAACTTCGAGGTACAGTGGGCTACAAAGGCACAGTCATTATTTTCCATATTTATTTTGGAAATTTAGTTGTAAGCATATCCAAATTTAGATGGTGGAATTGAATTGAAATGTTTTCTTGGACTTTCAGCCGGCCACTTATTTGTGTCACGCAGGTTAACAGAGCAGCTGTGATCGGAGGCGCCGCTTTAGCAGGCGTTGGCATCGTAGCTTTGGGTGCCGCTCTGCTCGCCACCTTGCTCAAAGATGACGACGACGACGATGAAAAGAGACATCGTAAGTGACAGCGATGAGACAGAAAGATGAAAGGAAAGATCTCTCATTTGTGAATCAATTCACCCGGCAATCATTTTGATTCAAACTGTGACAGTGAATGAACTACGGCACATGTGCACTGAACTGAAAAAAGTTGTCTTTGTTGGTGTTCTGTCAACACACACAAAACAATTCAACTTTGGAAAAGATGGAGCAAGCAGCTGTTGAAGAAAATGAATGGCTGTCATAATGCTATAAGACAATTTGTTCATCATATAATGTATTGTATTGATTTGTGTAAAAAATAAATGGAAATCATTTCATATATTTTTTATGTTGGAGAGCCTTTATCTATTAAAACATGTCATGTTCTGTGTGTGCAATTCATCTGTACTTTGCAGAAAAAGACACGCAGACGTCGTATTTACTCAAAGCCTCAGAATCCAAACAAGTGCTGTATGTTATTAATATTCATGTTTTCTTGGCAACAATAATGATTGACAGAGAGGTCCTGAGTGCAACAGTAGAGGGCATCACGGTGAAAAGGCAGACAGAGCAACAGGAGACTGCTGAGTAATGTTTCTCTGACGGCCTAATTAAGCGCTTAAAGGGTGTTCATCCCCCGTGGTCTCTGTGCCAGCATTGTGCTGCGTCACAATCTACCACTGTTTACATGTGGACCCCTGTTACAGCCGGGGCAGGTGGTGCAGAGCAGATCCACACAGGACCATGTGATTGACATGCTGTGTGTGCTCAACCTCTTGTTCCTCTATCTTCGTGGGGACCAATTCGATTTTTAGACCATGAGAGTGGGGACATTTAGGAAAGTGAGACATTATTTTGGAAGCTTGGGCAGTTAATAGGTTAATACTTGGTTTTATGTCACTTTAAATGTTTTAGCTGTGATGTTTAAGGACTGGGGAATGTATTCATTGATGGTCCTCACAAGTATCAAAGTACAAAAAGTGTGTGTGACTGTTGGCAGCTGATTTGTGTGGGGACTCGCCTTTGTTTTAGACAACTGCACGTCCCCATGACTTTACAAGTTAGGGTGAAAAGTAGGGTAAGAGTTAGGTTATGGTTAGGCTAAATGTCAATGCAATGTCCCCTAAAGACATGACTACGTGTGTGTGCGCGTGTGTGTGTATGGGTGACAGCTGAGTCAAGGATCACTGTAACCCCCCCCCCCCTTTCTGAGGCTCCTCCTCCCCCAGCTGGATGATAAGACCCTGCAAAAAATATATGTGCATCTTGTCAACTGACAGTCTTGTTTAATATTTAAACTCTCAGTTTAGAAAAAGAAAAATTAAATCTGTACAGAAGGAAATGTGGCATTTGCAGAATAAATCCATTTTCAGTCCTGAAAACTATTTTAGAACTCAAATCTAAAAAGTGTGAATTGAGCATCTGGCATGCTTTTGATAATGCAGGTTTGTAGTTGAATTTGAAACATGTATTGAAAGTATGTAACCCACAAATGTAGCTGTGCTACTGTTATCTGACAAGGCACAGTCGACATTTGCTCTGGGACATGTGTCGTTGCATGCATGGATTTTAAAGGGCTGTCCTTGACTGAGACATCAACATGAACCTTTATCTGCAGCTGGCTGGATATGTTGTGAAATGTCTCCCAGAATAGCTACAAAACCCTGTTCTAGATAAATCTCAGATCAAATGAAGGCAAAGGCAAATACAGAGTTGAACTCATGTTACATTTTAAAACTGCATTTTGAGTAATGACATCGCGTACAGTAAATCACTCCTTTTAGTTTCTAGCTTTCCTGCTTAGACTCAAATCTTAATGCAAAAAATGCCATTTACAGATTCAGGCTGACTTTTCTAACTTAGTCAACAACACTAAGAACACATTGGCGATTTGGCTACATTTAGCTGAAACACCTTTAAATCCTCAACAAATAAATAAAATCAAATGATTTGGATGTTTTTTGCAGTGTAGAAACAGGCCCCGGGGCCAGGCCAGTGAAGCTGCTAGCAGGTGGGGCCAGTTGGGCTTGCCTGGTCCCCAGAATCTGCACAGCACCCCACATTGTTCCTGAGTTCACCGCCTGAGAGCTCCATGAAATCCAGAGAGGGCTGCAGAGGCTCGGGTCGTGGGACCGGCTCCAGAAATAATAAAACCTCGTACTCTACACGTTTATGGAGTCGGAAGAGATGGCTTATCGTGGCTGATCATTAGGCTCAAAAATAATCACCATGTATAACAAATGTGCAGCGATGTCATTGGTGGCCCTGATAGAGAGACAACGTGCAGTTTACTGGACATTTGCATTTAGTTGTTATCACTCGATTCGTCGGTTTCCATCACCACATCCATGGCTTGTTCCTGTGATATCAGCTGCATTTGGGAATTTGGCAAAAACAGGAGCTCAGCCTGTTGCCAAATAGAATTTCTCCCATTACAGCCAATAATAGCTGGCATTATGGCACCAATTACAGACAACTGTTCAATTTTGAATGAATACAGAACTTGGGAATTGGTGTCTTCAGTCTATAAAACCCATTTTTAAAGATAAAACCACGCCGATTGCCACGTTCTGCCTCTCCGTCTCCGTCTTCAGCCACATTCACATTTCCTCAGAAATTATTAGCAAGGCCCCTTCTTTGCCTTTTCCCATCCATCCACCAGATACCCTCAGCCTTTCCCTCCTTTCCCAATCACCTGACTATCACACCGCTCTTCACACCTGTTCTCACTTCCCTCATCTGCTCGCCCACCTCCTCACCTGATTCACCTGCATCACTCACCTGCTACCCATTCCTTCTGATTGGATCCAAACCGACCCCAAATCCTTTTTAGTTCATCATTGTTGCAGCGTGGTGTTTTACTGCCTGTGTGCCTGTTACCTTTATGCTTTAAATCACGTCATGGACAAGAAGGTGGCTGAATTGTCACATCTGACAGCAACATGGAGGTACAGGAGGGAAGAGAAACTTTGAGAGACATAAAGATAGTGTGTCCTCAAAAGCTGCCAGCAAACACTGGAAATCACTTTTTTCGCAACACTGAAGCGACTAATCTTACGGGTTCTGTCTTGTCAACTAACTTCGTTAACGTTGACAAAAGCACTTTGTCTGATGAAGTGTGAGAGTTTGAAAAAACTTTAATATAACTGACAGTACATGCCCTCGGAATTAATGCAATCCAGGGTTGAACAATCAGGATTGCCCCGGGCAAGTAAAATAACACATCGTAGTAAAAATGTACTTTGGGTAATTCGATTTCTGGCAAGCGAAAAAAAAAACATTAACGTTGAAACCTGAAAGAACAAGGTCAGATATTAAAGTGTTAAATGTTGGAAATGATTGCATTTACTCCAAGGTTGATGCATTTCCCCTGAATAATAGTAAGATAAATGATTTCAGAGATGCTTTAACATGTAGTTCCCTAAACTAGAACAGTTGATGTATTTTGCTGTTAAGTCACGGTTACGAAACAGGACTTGCTATTGTGAGTTTCTATTGTGAACTGGGCTTAGAGGCAACACTGGACCAACATGAATTACTACAGTGAGTAAAAGACCACAGCAGCCTGAGATAAAAGCAGCGTGACAGGCGGCCGTGGAAGCCAAAAACCAACTACCTTTGGTGTCTGTGTCACTTTAGGATATATGGCTTCCCCCACCGCGGCCTGTCACAGCTAACTTCTCACGTTCAGATACCCCCGAGAGGCAGACGGAGGAGGGGAGGTGGTGCAGGCCCCCGCCAGAAGTGCTGTTAAACCTCCAAACTTCTTCCATTTGGTACAAAGATGTCATTGAGACTTGTCTTTGCACCTGCTCACGTTGTGGAGGAGATGGCAGAGGTTCTTCCTGTGTGTCTAGGGGGAGGAGGAGGGAGCACAACAGTCCCCCATCTCCCTGCTGAAAAACAAGCCCAACAAATGCTGTTTAAAGATCTTTTTTTATTTTATTTTTTTCAAAAAAAGGCAAACTGCCGCCATGCCAGATAAGTCAACAAATGAATGCCAGTGAAACTTTGTTCATCGTGTGAGGGGCCTTTTTGAGAGCGAGGTTTGTGTAGAGAGAGGGGGAAAAGGGATGAGGAGGTGGATTTAGGACCACATAAAGAGGAGCGCCAGGAGGACGTGGTTTGGAGACCACCCTAAACGTAAGGTTTCTCTGGATGCCGATGCCCGCTCAGGTGGCAGCAGTTGAAGCAGCCACCTCACCACCTCCATTCCCTCTCCCCCGCCGGGCTCACAATGAGGCAACTGTTTCAACGGTATGAGGGCTCAGCCTCCGAGGCCTCTGACAGAGAGAGATTAGAATAACAATGTCCTGGGTTAATGATGTTTGTGCTGTTAAAGGCACAAAGTCGTTACTAAAAAAGCCATTAGGGCCCGGAGTCAAAGAGAATGAAAGGAGTGTTTTTTTACACTGATTATTTGCAGCGAATTCTAAACAGAACAGAGATCAACACACAAAACACCAGCAGCTCAGTGGCCCATTTTATGGCGAGTTCTTGATATGTATCATGCAGCTATAACTACTGTTTTTAGTTCATGTGATAGTGGCTTGTTTCATGAATTAGCTGCAGTTCCTTTCAGGCTTTTCACCCGACTCCTTCACTCGGATCCACTCATCATGTCGAGGCGGCAGGCAGAGCCGAGTCGGCGCTGGCAGAAGGGGGCAAAAAAAACAGAGAAAAAAAAAAACAAGGCTTTGAAGAAGACTGAGCTCGCAAAGCTGTATTTTAAAGTTGGATAGCACATCAGAGGCACGAGCAGCTACAGTTCTGCCTTTTTGAGGGATATACAACGGTCGTACTGCGGCATCCAAAAAGAGCATTCTCTTCTGAAGGCGAGCGGAGTGAGACCAAACATGCATCGCCATGCTCCCAGGCCTAATTATCCTCTGGATCGCAAACAGAGAGCTGGTTTCAGCGGAGCAGCGACGAGCGGAGGATGGCTATATCTGAAAATAATCAAATGTGACATGATTTCAGCTGTTATTTACATTCACATTATAGGCCGACACTATCATTTGGAGTGACTTAGTGCATAAGTCACTCTAAAGGAATAAGTTTCATTTCCTTCGTCCTTGAAGCTCGTGTTTAATAGAGATATGAGACAAAAAGCTGGTCCAATAGAAGAGCTGAGAGAACCCTAATCATCGAATGTTGTCCTTTGAATCATAAATATATTCTGTGAAAGCTGGTTCAACACACACAGCAGAATAAACTATGTTCCCTTGAACACCAATATACAAAGCAGCCAATAGAAGACATTTA